TAGCTATTCTGAATAATAGTGAAGTTTGTTTCCAATTCCTCTTCTCTGTTTTCCCTTTTCTGCGTTACCTAGTGTAACATCTGGTGCTTTCATCATGCAAATTCAAGAAGTCGTTGAGGAACTCCGATCGAAATTTCAACAAGAAATTCAATCTACACGATCAGATCTTACCCAGAAGCTGGATCAACTCACTGAGTCGGTGTTAACTCTAGATGCAAGACTGAGAGATTTCATGACCCCCTCTCGAGATTCGATGTCAACCACTTCGAAGCACCATGCATCTAACTCTGACACCAATAATCCTCAATTTCGTCAATCGGAAACTCTAGAACAGCGGGTGTTGAAATCGGTGAAGGTGGAGATTCCTCCTTTCAATCGGTCTGACCCCAATAATTGGATTTTTAAGGCCGAAATGTTTTCTCAGTTGCAAAATGTCCCACCGTTCATGAAGGTGAAACTTGCCGAAATGAGAATGAAGGGCCAAGCATCCCCGTGGTTCCCATGGATGTTTACTTCTGGGGTGATCAACCAGTAGGAGGATTTTACTAGCTCATTGAGACAGAGATTTGGAGCTTCAACCTTCATTGATTTGAAATGAGTCCTTTCAAAATTGTCCCAATTAGGTACACTAATTGAATATTTAGGGATTTTGAATCTTTGTTGAATCAGGTCCCTAGTTTTAGCGATGATGTGTTGATGAGTTTTTTTTATCTCTAGCCTTCAACCTGATCTTCGAGGGGCCATTCAACTCCAATAGACTACTTCCCTTCATCATGCTATGCAACTTGCATATGCATTTGATACTCACCATGAGCAGCTACGCTCATCTCTTCTTTCAACCCAAAAGAAATCTTCCTTCTCTTCACGTCAACCTACAGCTACCTCGAAATCCAGTTCCTTCTCTTCGAATTCAACAACTGCACTCAATAGTATAATCAAGCCCCTTTCACCCCAAACATCTACCCTGCCGATTAAAAAGTTCTCACCTGAGGAATTTCAGAGAAAAAAAGAACTTGGTTTATGCTATACTTGTGAGGAGAAGTGGAACTCGAAGCATAGATGCAAAGCTAAGATGCTCCTTTTGATGGGTGAATTGGAAGAAGAACATGATAATGAGGAGGAAATCCTTTGGTCTCCTGAAACCAAGGATGTCTCAGATACGGCTACCTTGCATGCATTATCAGTTCTTTGAGGCCCAGGGCATTGATTCTTGATGCAATGTTTCTCAATCATGCAGTCAGCGTATTAGTTGATTCTGACAGCTCTCACAATTTTATAAATCAAGAGTTAGCCATTAAATTGAAGATGCCTATGGTCCAATCGAGGGGAATGAAATTGTTCATGGGAAATGGTGAATTTTTGTTATGTGATTTGTAGTGTAGCCAGGTTAAATTGTTGATTCAACATCACTCCTTTATAGTGGATTTTTGGGTCTTGGAGTTGCAGCACTTAAATGTCATTTTGGGTATGACTTGGTTGGAGAGTTTGGGCTGTGTCACTCGTAATTATGTTGGCCAATAATAAATAGATGCAGTTGCAAGGTGTTACTGATGCAGATGTCCATCATAATCCTCTACATCACAATGCCTCTTGCTGTCTATTGCTTAAGCAATCCTCTACAGAGAATGACATGTCAGCTGTTCCTGAATTAGATGCTCTTAAAGAAACCTTGAATTTTGATTTATGGTCTGTTCTCCAAAGGTGCAGAGTTGTGTTTAAAACACCCCAATCTCTTCCCCCTTTTTAGAGGTATGAATCATTCTATTCACTTGGTAGAGGGAGCAAAACCGGTTAATGTCAAACTTGATAGGTTTCCTCATCACCAGACAGCAGAAATAGAGAAACAAGTTTCGGATCTCTTGGCTACTGGTTTTATTCAACCTAGTAAAAACTCTTTTTCCTCTCTTGTTTTGTTGGTAAAGAAGCAGGATGGGACTTGGCGTATGTGCATTGATTATAGAGCTCTCAATGCCATAACAGTACCTGACCGATTTCCTATACACACTATTGATGAGCTTTTGGACGAGTTACTAGGCGCTTCAATATTTAGTAAATTGGATCTTAGAGCTGGCTATTATCAAATTCGCATGCTGCCTCAGGACATTCACAAGACTGCTTTTAGGACCCACGAGGGACACTATGAGTTCTTTGTGATGCCTTTTGGGCTTACCAATTCCCCTGCCACATTTCAAGCTGCTACGAACCAGATTTTTTGTCCCTATTTGAGGAAACTTGTCATAGTTTTTTTTTATGACATCCTCATTTACAGTGCTATTTTAGCTGATCATGTGCATCACTTGGAGCTTGCACTTCAGTGTCTGCATCAACATAATTTTTTTGTCAAGCTGAACGAATGTGCTTTTGGTGTTGCTGAAATAGCTTACTTGGGCCATATTATTTGTGTGGAAGGAGTGAAAGCAGATTCAAAGAAAGTGGCTGCTATGATTGATTGGCCACAACCCTCCCTCTGTCAAACAGTTACGAGCCTTCTTGGGTTTAACGAGTTACTACCGGAAATTTGTAAAAAACTATGCTGAAATTGCCTCACCACTCACTGATATGTTAGAAAATGAGAAGTTTATTTGGTCATTTGCTGCAACTGAGGCTTTTGATAAGCTCAAAACAGCCATGAGTACAATTCCAGTGTTAGGATTGCCAGATTTTTCATCTTCTTTTGATGTGGAGACTGATGCTTCTACCTTGGGAATAGGTGCTGTTTTGCTCCAACATGGCAGACCAATATCATTCTTTAGCAAAAAGCTTGGTTTCCGTTTGTCAAAAGCTTCCACACATGTGGTATACAAAAAAAAAAGCTTCCACATATGTTCGTGAGCTGTATGCAATCACAGAGGCTGTGAAAAAGTGGAGACATTATCTCCTTGGAGCACACTTTATTGTGAGGACTGATCATCAAAGCATTAGGGAGCTTTTGTCACAAACAATACAAACACCTGAGCAACACATGTATGTTCATAAGCTTCTTGGTTATTCCTTTTCTATTGAATATAAGCCTGGCTCTTCGAATATAGTTGCTGATGCTTTGTCTCGACAATTTATTCTACTGATATGGGTTCTTTGATGCAAATGCTGTCTAAGCCACAATTTGCCATCAATGATCTCATAAGGGCTAAAAATGCATCAGATCAGGAGTTGTTATCTATACATCAACAACTGGTTGCTGGTCTTCCAATTGATCCTCTTATTACAGAAAAAGATGGAATTTTTATTGGCATAAAGGCAGATTTCATTTGGGATCAAAGTCACATTTGAAGTCTGAACTCATAGAAGAGGCTCATTGCACTTCGATTGGTGGGCATGTTGGATCTCTTCGCACATTTCTTCGCTTGTCTGCCTCGTTTTATTGGCAACACATGAGGAAGGATGTCAATGCCTTTGTTAAGGAGTGTGCCATCTGTCAACAAATTAAAACAGGCAATATCAGCACCTTTGGGATTACTCCAACCGCTGCCAGTACCTGAAGCCATCTTTGAGGATCTAACCTTGGATTTTATTACTGGTTTGCCACCATGAAATGGTCATTCCACTGTTTTAGTGGTGGTAGATCGTTTGTCCAAATATGCTCATTTTGTAGGTTTGGGTCAGTCTTATACAGCTACAATAGTGGCCAGGGTTTTTTGTGACAACATTGTGAAGCTTTATGGCTTTTCTCGTTCACTGGTTTCTGATAGAGACCCAATTTTTATGAGCAAATTCTGGCAGAAAGTGTTCTCTTTGAGTGGCACTAAGTTGAAGACAAGTTCAAGTTACCATCCTCAAACCGATGGACAGTCGGAGGTGACTAATGTTACTTGGAGCAGTATTTGAGAGCTTTTTGTGCTGATCAGAATCATAGGTGGACTTCCTTTTTATGTTGGGCTGAACTACATTACAATTCCTCAGTCCACTCTTCTATTGGGATGTCTCCCTTTCAAGCTGTTTATGGTCGTTTACCTCCATCTATTCCACAGTATCCCCGTGGTTTGGTTTCAGTGGAAGCTCTTGATACACTACTCTACCAAAAGAATGAAGTCTTAGCATATCTCAAGAGCAATTTATTGCGAGCTCAAAACAGGATGGAAAACCAATCATATAAGCATCGCCGTGATTTTCTTATGGTTGAAGGTGACTTGGTGTTAGTTAGACTGCAACCTTATCGCCAAATATCGGTTGCTAGACGTTCCCATAAAAAACTTGCTAAACGTTTTTATGGCCCTTGCTAAACGTTTTTATGGCCCATTCGCAATTAAGAAGGTCATTAGCCCGATCGCATATCAATTGGATTTTCCAGCTACCTCCAAAATTCATCCTACCTTTCACATATCTTGTCTAAAGCCATTCCATGGGAAATCAGATGTCCATTTTGCTCCACTTCCGTCTCAGAGTATGGATAATAGGCATGTCCAAGTTCCACTTGCCATTTTAACTTCCCGTTCAGTTCAAGTTTGTGGTGCCCCTCAGCTGCAACATTTAGTGCAGTGGACAAGTACAGTTCCTGAAGATGCAACATGGGAACCTGCAGAAGACTTGCTTGCTGTCTATCCAGGATTAGACCTTGGGGACAAGGTCTCTGTGGAAGGGAAGGTAGTTGTGACAAGCCCAATAGCTGATGGTCCAGTCTTGGACAACAACGAGGCAACTAGGCCCATTTGAAAGAGAGCAGCACCAATTTGGTTGAAGGATTACACTTGTAAATGAGTAGCTAGTTGTAAGTAGCTCTTGTGTAACTGATAACAGAGTATATTGACAGCTGAAATAAGGTGTAGTTAGTTAGGTGACATGTGTACAATGAATAGTTCAAATAGGGAGATTGTGTACAGAGATAACTATTCTGAATAATATTGAAGTTTGTTTCCAATTCCACTTCTCTGTTTTCCCTTTTCTTCGTTACCTAGTGTAACATACGGGCTCTAGAGATATCTTGCTTGTGAATTCTAAATAGGAAGAGCACGGAATGAACATGCCTGATGCCTGCTGCCTGCCATATATCTAGGCATTGATTTGAAAAGTTAAAAAGGAGATTTTTTGTCTATAAAAAGAGCTAACTGTATTGAGGTAGAGAATAAATAAAAAGTATAGCAATTGATAGATGAAATAATCGTCTACAAAACTTTAAGCCAGTAAAGAGTTCCCAAAAAATCTACAACCTTCGAAATAATCTAAACTATTTTCCTTTTGCCTTGCCTTTATTGGGATTTCCTTTTGCCGTCCCTTTCTTGAAATTTCCCTTTTTAAAAGACGACTTCTGAGTTTTCAATTTGCTGTCATTTGAGGAAGCCCTCCCTGTCTCACTCCTTCTCCTTTTCTCTTTCTTCACATTGTGCATTGTGATGGCCTAGAATACAGAGAATACAATGTTGAAAAAAGTTAATAAAACTTAGTAAAAATTGAAATCTAGGTCACTAAATGACTTGAATGTACCTTGCCAACATTGAGTATGTCATGGGAATTCTTGGAGATGATCCTGTTCAATATTTTTTCAGTTTGCTCCTTCTCCTGCGATCCTATCCCTGTTCCTTCCACAACAGGCAGGAACTAGATGAAAACAGAACAAAGGAAGCTAATTAGTCAATTTAATGAAAGACGGATGCTTCTACATACAATAATTTACATAAATCAGAGACACTGATTTCATTAAGAGCACAGTGCACAACCTTTCGATATTTTCCTTTATGTTGTGCAGGCTTTTCACCTGCCAATTTCTTGTCAAATTTCCCACCACTGGCAGTTGCAGTTGCTGCTATTCCTGCTACATTACCTAGTTCATCCTTGGTAACTTTCTTGGGTGCTGCTTGAGTTCCTGTTATAGGTAAAGCTGTAGCAGCCAACTGGACATGGCTGCATACGAATTTATTCAGATCTCATTACAAGAGAAGACATAGCACAAACATGTCCAAAGAAAAGAAGAGAAAAAGAATAAAGATATATATTAAAGTATACAAAACACGCTAGGTCAAAACTCTCCAACAACCGAGTAAGAAGTTGACACACAAATTTCCAAATGATTATATCTACTGGAAGTTAAGGTGCCACCAATTATTAGGTGGTCCCAAAATTGGGGACATAACAACATACTGGGAAGGACGGAGATAAACAGTCAAAATCTACAAATGATTACATCTGCTAGAATTTAAGGTTCCACCAGCTTATTGTCAGCATCAAGCTACAGTGTAGCAAAGATTGGCATGTTCACTTCGGCCATGTTAGGAGAGAGGGCAACCTTAGTGCTGACCATTTAGCCAAACTAGCTTTTGGTTCTAGAGAAGAGCTTTTGTTGCTCCCTGAACCCCCCCCCAGTTCTCTGAGTCCTATTTTGGACTTCGATTTATCCGCTTTGTAGTTTTTTGTTTTGGGCTTTGCCCCTTCTTAATACTAAAAAAAAAAAAAAAGGTTCCAACGGTAGCAGGGGCAAGACCGTTCATTGAGAATATCAAGCTACCAGCAAGCAAAAGTAATTAGGGCTTTGGAGCATGTAAAAAATAAAAAGCAGTAATCACTAGTTGACCCAACACAATAGTATAAAAAGAATTTGTAGATCTCATTTCAGTTTTATAAGTTGTGCAGAAGAAACTTCAGCAAACTCAAAAAAGAAAGTGGACAGCATCTAATCCAATTCCAGAATAGGTGGCCACTAGACCAAGGTGAGAGGTATATCTCCAACGGCCACTAAGGTCTGACTCCACCTCAGTTATGATTTCAGGAAGGCAGTCAATGATCCATGAAATAAATTCACACAACTATGAACCTATGATGTATATTCTGATAGACAATAACATACAATTCTCATGCTACAAAAGCCTCAAGGCTAAATGGCTAATTGAAAAATAGGTAAGAGAAAAACCTTGGTAAAGCACCGAATTTTGCAGCTTCTTTCAGGTTCTGTAGTCGATTTTTATCTTGTTTTTCAACTCTTTTCTTCTTATTTTCTTTTCTTTTGGCAAAAGGATCCTCTTTTGGATCTGCAAGATGTTACAATATCCATTACTATACCATCCTGATAGCTTTGATTGGTGCATAAAATTATATGCCCACAAAAATGTGAATTACAAATATGCACCCTGTACGCACTCAGAAAAGATAGAAATCCTAAAATAAATCAGAAACATAATAACAACATTAGCTCCACAAGAGGTTTACATAACAATTATAAATGATTTGAAATAGAGACATATAAACTACTAACTTGATCCAGATTATCACATGCAAGAAGCTTCATGTCCATAATGCAGAATACAGAACAGAATAACAAAGTACCAAAAACAAGTACGAAAATAACACCTTCCACATTTTGAAGTCCTAACTGATGGATACTTGATAAGAACCCAGCCAATAAAAACAGAAAACAGAACTCAAATGGGTACTTGAATGAAAACAGAGGCTCGTATTACTAGTATTAGTCTTAGCAGTACAAGAAATTAAAGCAAATCAACAGTACATGAAATGCAAACAACTGATACAAGGAATATCAATAGAACAGTAATGGCAGAAAATTACAAGTGAAACCAGAAAAGAAAAGGATAGTATAGAGCAATTAGAGAGGCTCTACTCTCTCCCAAGACCCAAGTCCAAGCAATATTCCAGATATCTTACTCAATGCATTTCCCCACTTATATATGTTTATACCGTAACCATCCCTTTACATAACAAATTAAGAAGATTCCATCATCTCTCTCCTATCCAGTATGTTACGCCACCTCATTGGTACAACACTATCCCCTGCATGTTATGATTAAACATTGTGCATGACCTGATATATTTGAATGTTTCCCTTTTATAATTTGGATCTTCAAATGGACAAATGGGGCTCTATCTCAGATTTTCCTTTAATTTGTACTGTTTGAGTACAAATGCCTTCCAGGTTTGCCACCTAATTATCCAAGTTAAACTTTTCTCCTGTTCCTAACAGGTCTAGTAGTTCCATTGATGCCCAACAGTAACACCTCAAAGAAGGGTCTCTTCATACATGGCCATTAAGAGAAGCACAGTAGCAGTGATTTCAATAATGATTCATTCATGTGGAAAGGCATGTTCAATTATTTACCATCTGTTGCTTTTGCCTCAATAATGGGTACAGCATCTTCATCATTTGCACGATCATACCCATATCTACGTTTCCAGGTTCCAGACTGTTCATCATATTCAATTTTGTCTTTCTTCCGTTTCTGTATGCCTACAAAAATAGCATAGAATAGGTTTCAGATAATAAAAATTAGAAAACAACCCTAAGCCCAAATCAGATACATAAGCATCGATAAAAGCAGGAAGAAGGTTATGTTCAACATGAAATCATTTGAAAGGCACATATACAGCATGACTAACCTTTCTTTTGGGCAAAAACTTCCCATTTAGTAGGAGGCTTTGGCTTTGGCAGCTGAAAGCATTACAAAACTTGATAAGCAAGGGATTTGGCTAATTAGACATAGAGAAACACTAGAACCATGGAATCTAAGGTAAAGATAACAATATAAATGAGACAAGTGTAAAGTTAATTGCAAGATAGGACTGATAGTTCATTTAAGAAATAGGAACTATAAACAAAGATACAATTATAATATTAACGACAAGAGGATTTTACTTAGCTGTAGGAAAATTGCAACTCAGTGGGAATAAATATTAGCATGGTGAGTATTTCAGCATTAAAGGAACTTAACAGGTTGCATAATTTTTTAAATAAAAAAAGAGATTGGAGTGTGGGAAACAAGTGAATAGAAGTAGAAGTAAGAGGGGTTACATGTTTCTCTCTAGGCAATTTAGTCAGTGGTGCAGGCAACTTGACAAGGGGTCCATCTACATCTTCGGTCGATGGCAAAGTAAAGAGTGCATCTGCGATAGCTTGAACTAACTGAGTTCCTTTTTGTAAACACTCGTTGATGAGGTCCGCCCTAGGTTTAATTAAGGTTAGCAATGAGGGAGGGTGGCTCTCCGTCGAAAATGAGAATAAGAAGTAGAAGAAAAAGAAGAAACCTGGAAATGGGTGGTTGAGAAGGAAAGGTGTGATGAGTGTCCAACGCCATCAGGTTACCCAAATCCACCTCAAACTGCTTCTGCTTCTCAGCCTCCATCTGCATCGCCATCTGGTTCAACAAATCAAATGAATAACAATAACAATAGCAATGGTAAAAGGCAGGGTGGGAGAGGCGCTTGTCACTTGCCCCCATCCAAACCAAACCATTCCCCATTAAAGCCTGACTAGCAAGGGTAGGGGTGCGGGTATCACTATAGCAAGGGTGCGCTTACCACTATTTTACAGTTGGTTTTTAGCAATAAATGTCAGAACTAATCTGTTCACAGGTGGAATTTGTCAAGAAATTAAGACCAGATCATTATAAACAAGGGTGGGCAGCCGGAGGCTATACCAGGACAGGGATTTCTTACAAACTTATCATCAAATGAAGTTTCTAATGTAAGTCCTGAATACCAGAACTTCAGAAGAGATAAATCAGGTTTTTGTCATTACTTTATGGACAAGAAAAGAAAAAACAATTACTTAGAAGCAGATTACCATACATCAATTCAATGCAATATATCCTCATGATATAGCTAGAGGCAAGTATGTCATGTTAATAAAAACCGTTATCATGACATAGCTCTTAATCCATATCACATCTTTCATTAAAGATTTGAGGACCCAATTGAAATAGGGAAACTTATAGAGACATAGCTCTGTAGCTGGCCTGTAGAATAATCCTGCATCCTACTTAGCACTGACACAGATCCTATTACTATAGAACTACACTGTCGCAGCATGAGTTTAATAAGAATCAATGGAATCTTATAAATGATGAGTTTTGATAGAAGAATCATGGTACCTTACTTGCTCGACAATGGCTGCGTTGTAGTTAGGGTTCGCTAATACAGAAACGACATGAAAGGAGGAGCACACGACACTAATAGGAACAACACTGATAGCAAGAGTGAATTGGAAAACGTGACCCGCCGGTTAGCGCCACCCGACCTAAGAAATAAAAGAAATTTGTGGGTTAGGGCTTAAAATAGGCCCACTAATATTGGGCCGAAAAAGTCATGGGGCTTCAGCTGTCCCACGAATCTAAACCCATTTTGACAGCTCTTGGAATAGTCATTAAATGTAAGGTGGTCCAAAAACTTAAAAAGAGCACATTAGTCAATTCGAGGGCCAACTCAAATATACAATGTACATTTTTTACATGCCATGAACACAATTGTAAACTTGACGTTTTTTTTTTTTTTTTTTTTGGTAAACGTAAACTTGACGTTTTTAACTTGTAATTCTGTCCGATACAGCAACCTGAAAATAATATTAACTTAAATTTTAATTTGAATTTTTAAATTGATATTTAACATATTATTATATTATTTAATAAATTTAATATTTTACATAATCATTGATTATTAGCACAATTAAATTTTTTAAATAAAAGACTAACTAAAAACTGAAAAATAAATTCAATAATATACATGTTACGAGTGATATTAATATTGAAAAGACAAATCATAACATATAATATATATATATATATATATATAATTAATAAGAAAGAAAAAAAAATATTTCATCCAATTTTTTTTATGTTAATCTAATAATAAAAGACCAGTTTGAATGAATTTTTTTTTCTTCAAAAGTTGATTTTTTTTTTAAAAAAAAAAAAATTCTCGTTTTTGTGTGTTTGAATGTCTGATTCAAAAAAAAAAAAAAAAAAAGTCACGAAAAAAATCAAAAGCTTAATTTTTTCATAAGCTAATGCCAAATTTTTTTTAAAAACTAAATATTTTTTAAAAATATAAATAGTTCAAACTTTTATAAAAAATACCTTTAAATTAAGAAAGAAATAAAAGTTATTTTTTTAAAAACACGAAACAAATGGGCTCAAACATCTTGTCACTCCTCAGCTTCTACTTTTATGCTACCGTAACTGACAAATGACGTTCAAGTAAACACACGGTACACTTTCATTCTGCAACCTTACCCTCCCCTCCCCTGACGGTCCGTCAAATGACAGAAGAGATATACCCCGTTCAATATTAGCTCGTAACTCAAACACAAAACATATGAAACATGTAAACGACTGAGAAATTTTTTTAGAAAAGCACACAAATTCAATATCGCGTTTCCTTGTAGATCTGCAAACTTTTCAGTTCCTTCATCCATCAATTCAATCTTCTTATCTTTCGAGCTCGAAACCGTCCTCGTAGCTAAGCTCAGCTCCTCTTCTTACTTGCTTTTTACTTCTCTCATTCTTCTTCTATTTCTTTTCTACTTCGGCGATAGTGGTGTTATACGAGCCAGGGGCCTTTGGCTCGGTTCGTGAAGGTCTAAGCTTTTATGTCTAAAATTGATTATTGGAACGAGGTTTGGACTTGTATAAAATCTTCTTTAATAAAAAGGCATCAGACTTCAATTTAAAAGTTCGGCCTTAGAGCCTCTCAAGCTAGCCTAATATATTAATTTTTATTTTTATTTTATATTTTTTATATTACTTGTGATAGCTCTCTCTCCTCAATCCATTTCATCTCATTTTATTAATTAAATAGACTTTTTGAATGATTTTGATTTATATTATGCTGTTTGGATATATATTAAATTTATGAATATTTATGAAATTACTAATGTTGTTGACTGTATATTTTGTTTGGATAAATTTTTGTTGTCTTATTTTGTTTTAAACAACCTAAGAGGCAAAACTAGACTTTTATTTTTTTGTAAATAAGACAGGCCACAGGCTGAAATTATAATTATATTCATAACAGGTAACAGGTTTGGTCAGGCTGACACATTTAAACACAAGCTTAGCCTTTTAAGACCAAAGCTCGGCTCGGCCCGTTAACACCCCTACTCAGCGATTCCTTTTGTATTCTTCCAAAATGTTAGGTTTTGGATTCCGAACAAGTTTTTATAATTAAATTAAAATTTTATTTTTACAATTAAATTTTTAATTGATTTTAATTTTATTTTTTGTAAATACAAATTTATAAAATTTCAAATACAAACAATACAACTCTTTGCAAAAAAATAATAATAATTTATTATTATTTTGTATATCTAATTATGATAAATATCCGTATATAAAATTTCAAATACTAACGACACAAATCCTTACAAAAAGATAATTATTTATTATTTTATTGTAAATTTAATTGTAATAAATGAAAGTCCAATTATGAAAAATACTAAAAAAAGCTAAGTCAAATTTTGTAATTTTTGAATGATTACAAAACAAGTTAAAATACAAAGATATACTTTTACGAGTTACTCTAGTTTCTACAAGACAAAAACTAATTTTTTTTTTTCGTGCAACGCACGCACGAGTAATGCACTGTTTAGTCAATTTCGAAGGCCAACTCAAATATACAATGTACATTTTTTACGTTCCATAAACAGTTTATAAACTTGACATTTTTAACTTATAATTCTGTCCGATAAACTAAAAAATAACTTCAATAATATATATATTTCTCAATTATAAAGTCTGAACCAGACGAGTGATATTAATATTACTATTTTTGGAGAACATATTAATATTACTATTACTAAATTGTCAAAAGCATACCTTTATGCTACCGTAACTGACAAATGACATTTAAGTAAACACGTGCACGGTACACTTTCATTCTCCACCACACCAGTACCCTCCCCTGACGGTCCGTCAAACGACAGAAGAGATATACGTCGTTCAAGATTCTCGCAACTCAAACACAAAACATATAAAATATATAAACGACTGAGAAAAAAAATAAATTAGAAGAAAAGCACACGAATCCTTGTAGATCTGCAAACTCTTTGGTTCCTCCATCCATCAATTCAATCTTCTTTTCCGAGCTCGAAACCGTCCTCGCAGGTCAGCTTTTCTTCTTCGTTGCTTTTTCCTTCTCTCATTCTTCTTCCATTTCTATTCTCCCTCCGCGATTCCTTTTGCATTTTCCCAAAATGTTAGGGTTTCCGATTCCGCAAACAGCACTGCCTCCACGGTAGATCTTGATTGGGGGGCTTATCTACGATTATGAAAACGACAACTTATTCGTTTGGGTTTTATTGTTTTAGTCGGATTTTGGATTAAACATTACAATTATTAGAACTTGAAATTCTAATTTCTAAACTATATTTCATATATGGAGGGTTTTCTGCAAATTTTCGTTCTTCTATTCAATATATGTCGGGTGATAATCGTACGCTTGCTTATGTATGATTAAGTGTTGATATGGGCTCTGATACGCAATGGCACATGGTTATCTATGCTTGATGTGTGAATAAATTGCTTTGTTGTTTCTCTGCAGGTTGTGAATTGAATGGAAGGAACTGGAGGCAGCAGTGCCTCGCCTGCTGCACCCGTGAACCAATGGTGGCAGGAATTTTCAAAGCTATTTCAATATTATCTGGATAAATCTACCCCACACGCTACGTATAGATGGATTGGGACTTGTGTTATTGGGTCGATATATGTTTTGCGGGTTTTTTATCTTCAAGGATTTTACATTGTGTCTTATGGACTGGGAATCTACCTGCTGAATCTGTTGATTGGGTTTCTGTCACCTTTGGTTGATCCTGAGCTGGAGCCTTCTGATGGACCTTTGCTGCCAACTAAAGGTTCTGATGAGTTCAAACCGTTCATTAGGCGACTTCCTGAGTTTAAGTTCTGGTAATTTAGTAATTTTTGTTTTATGGGTGGTAATTAGTAAATTTGTTTTATGGGTAGTAAGTTTGTTAACATATTAATACAACATTGTAAATATTTGTTAACACATTTTGAAATTCATTTTTCTAAGGAAACTTTGATTAAATTTGGGGTTCATGTTAATAGTTGCTGCTTCAATGCCTCCCTTCTTGGTACTTGATTTTTTGTCTGTGAATTTTGACTTGTTCTGTCATTTCTGAATTCCATGTGTTAATTAGTAGTATAAGACTATAAGCTTTGCACATTTTAGAGGTAATAGCTATCTAGAAAATATTTCCCCAATTTTTCTGTTTGCTCTTTAGAAAACATTTTACGGATCATTAGAAAATATTTCCAGCTTTTAGAAAGGATAAAAGATTAAGGCCCTGTTTGAATACGGTTTCTAAAAATAGTTTTTTGATTTTCAGAACAAAAAAACCCGTTTGATAAGACCTGTTTTGTAAAAAAAGTTTTAAAAATTGTATTTGTTTTTTTGTTTTTAGAATCAAATTTAGAGAACATGTCTGTGTTATTTTTGTTTTGTGTTTTGATTTTTAATTTTTTTTTAAAAAAAAACACAGAAAACACCTGTTTCATAAACTATTATACGAAATAGTTTTAAGAACCAAAAAACCAGAAAACAATCAAACAGAAAGTTGCTATTACTTGCCCCCAAACGTCACTGCGTGCAACCATTTAATAATCAGTTAATAACCATCGGCATTTGGCTGCAAGCTGTTCGTCATTGCTCATAGCAGTAGATAAATTACATGGAAGTGTATCTTTCCTATTCTTTTGTTAAAATGTTTCCTGAAACATAAACTTTCCTAATCACATTTTCCATTGAACAAATTGTCACTTAAGTATCCTTTTGTGTCATTATTGGTTATTCTAATTTGGTCTTGAAAAGTTTTTTGAATTTGATACATTATATTGAAAATTTTGTAACATTCCTATTTCTTATTCTCTTGCATTTAGATGATTGTGTATCATTCCAAATTTGAAAAAGTTTCTTTTTAAATTCATTTGTTTAATTAGTCCAACTGTCACTTCTGAAGTTCTTTTTGTCTCATCAATTATTTATTTGCTTGTAAGTCTTGAAACAAATAACCACTTGGCTTTAATTGTCTGGGCATTTCCTTGTCAAATTTCATACTTCCTCAAAAACTTAGTTTAAAGAATCCAAATGACTCATAAGGGGGCTTTAAAATCCAAATGACTTATAAGGGGGCTCTGTTCTTACATAACATAATATGTGGATATCCCATAATCCTTACTGAAAACTGCTTTTTGTTTGAATGGAGATTAGATGTTGTTGTATGACTGGAATGGCTTCATAAATAAGAATTGCTATGTTCAGTTACTTTGGTGGTGTGAGTTGATTTATTTAATTCAGCTTTCCTAAAAGAGGTTGGTATTATTGATGTGCATTCCTTTATAGTTGTTCAACAATAATGTAATTTACAATATTGTCTTGTTAAAGCTTACCTGTTTCTTTTGGGGAACAGTTTGAAGGAATCTAATCTCCATTGATGGATAAGATTAATGGTTTGATTTGTTATTATGGCTGCAGGTATTCTTTCACAAAGGCTTTCTGCATAGCATTTCTAATGACTTTCTTTTCTGTATTTGATGTTCCTGTCTTCTGGCCAATATTACTCTGTTATTGGGTGGTTCTGTTTGTCCTTACAATGAGGCGCCAAATTTCACACATGATCAAACACAAATATATTCCATTCAACTTTGGAAAGCAGGTTTTGTTATGCTCTAGTTGCCTTTTGTCATTTACCTTGTGCACCTGTTATTTTCTTGTACATGAAGTCCAGCAGAAGCAAGATTTGAATTATTTTGTATCATTTGCCTGGATGATAATACGCTATTTCTTTTATTATTATGCAGAAGTATAGTGGCAAGAAGTCTTCTGCAAGTAGCAGTCGCACTCGTGCAGACTGAAGCTTGTTGTGCCTTGATTTGAAGAATATAAATCCGAAAGTTAGGTTTTTGGAGCATTCAGGGTAGTTGATTTTTCCCCTTTATTTGAAGGAATTTGTAGTCAGAGTATTATGGATATGCCAATATGCAGTTACAGGAAATCTTTTTGTGTCCACTCATTTTATGATACCAGAAGACAAGCTAATGCTGACAGTGAACTTCATTGTTGATATACATCAATATTTGGTTCAGTTTTAGATTTATCGCAAATCTAGTCTTGTATTGCGATGCGGCGATCTTTCCCTGCCTGTTACCATGATTTGAAGACAAACTTCTGTTCAGGGAAAACTGTTGCCTTTGAAGTTTCTGCCTCTTTACTTGTATGGATATTAGATGGACTATTAACACTCACTTTCTGTGTAATTCTTCTCTAAAAGTATCTTCTATTTTTTGGGCCCATGGCTAATTCTGTTGCTGCCGCTGCAGTATTTGAAAGCCATGTGCTTTGATGTTGTTTAGGCACAGTCCATCAGAAAACTGACATTTTAATCGCAGCAAGTTGTTGTGTATACATTCATGTTAAATTAAAACAGGATGTTTTATGATAAAAAGTTGCGAACGTAAAAGTTTGAAGATGTGAATATGTTTCATAGATTAATAATTGTGGTACTTTTTATTTCAGGTATAGTTGTGTTCTTTTCATTGGTACATAGGATTCTCAACATAAATCATGACAGATTTGTTTCCTCCAGTTAAGTGAGAAATTAAATATATAGGTTTAAGATCACATTTTGACTCATAAGTTTATAGATTTTTTTCATTTATTTAATCTTAATTTATTCATGTTGTTTTCTTCCCTCAATTAGGGACATATAAATCAGAAAACTCCTACTGGACAAGAGATATACAAGAATAATGTTGTATGACGTAAATCATTATCCACAAGAAATATGGAAAACGCTTTGTTAGATATGTTGTTTTTAAAAAAGTGATGTTCCGAAGAGGGGGTGTTTGGTTGAGGAAATTTTTTTGGAATAGTAGGGAAATGAGATAAATAGAGAAATGATTGGAAAGATAGATAAAGTGAGATAGGTAGGAAAATGTAAAAAAAAGTTGTTGTTTGGTGAGGAAAAACTTTACTGGGAAAATTAGGTAACTTTATGAAGTCAACAGTGCATTAAAAGCCAGATAACCGGTTTTCCGAAAAATCCCACCTTCAAACTGGATTTCTAAACAGTGCGGATATCTATGTTTCTCATAAATCCAGACAAATTGGATAGATGGGTTTTTGGTAAAAAACATTGAAACAAACATGAGGCTTGTTTGATTGTGTTCTGGTTTTTTTGTTCTTAAAACTGTTTTGAAAAATAGTTATGGAAACAGTTGTTTTCTATATATTTTTCTTTTTGAAAGTTAAAAACCAAAACAGAAAACAAAAACAACTCAGACATGTTCTCTAAATTTGATTCTAAAAACAATAAAACAGTTATAGTTTTCAAAATATTTTTTACAAAACATGTGCTATCAAACAAGTTTTTTTAGTTTTTTTGTTCTCAAAACTAAAAAACTGTTTTTAAAAACAATAATCAAACAGAGCCATGGTGTTTCTAAAAGGCATACTTGAGAAAGATAGATATCCCCTAAAAAGCTCTCAACCAAACACCACCTAAAAGGAATATGTAGTTTGCAAAGAAAGGTGTCCAAGTTAAGACTGACAAGGGAAAAGTCCTTGTTGATCGCAGAATGAAGGAACAGTAGCCAAAGTGGCACTGTTGGATAAAAAAAAATCAAAATGTCACGCCAACAGTAAATTTTGCCAAAATGCCATATGGCATATTTCGCTACACTGTGTAGCGAAATATGTGTGCAAATAATTCGCTACACGGTGTAGCGAAATATGCCGCGTCAGAATGCACAGAACCAAAAATGTCAAGTGTCAGACAGAGAGAATTTCGTTACACTGTGTAGCGAAATTCTCCTTGTTTGACACGTGGCATTTTTGGTTCTGACGTGACATATTTCGCTACACCGTGTAGCGAATTATTTGCACACATATTTCGCTACAAAGTGTAGCGAAATAGGTCACGTGGTATTTTGGCAAAATTTACTGTTGGCGTGACATTTTGGTGTTTTTTTTTTTTGCCAACAGTGGCACTTTGGCCACTGTTCCCAGAATGAAGATGGGTGCTAGGAAACGTGGAATGGGTAAGGCAGGAAAAAGAGGTTCCAAGATGAAGGGTAAGTCTTGCGTGATGAGGGCTCTTGTGTGAGGGGACGTGTTGAGATATATAGTCCCACATTGGTTGAATAAGCAACTAATGTGGAGTTTATAAGGCCTTGGACACTCTCACTCTTTGAGCCTTCCTCACGCAAGAGCCCAATTTTTGGTTTTACCATTTTGTGTGGGGGGCGGTGAGGATCGAACTCGTGATCTTATGATCACTGAAACTCTGATAGCATGTAAAGAACATTGGAATACACCACCCCAGAAGCTAGTCAAAGGGTGGGAGTGTCCAATACCTTGTAAACTCTACATTAGTTGCTCATACAATCAATGTGAGACTATATATCTCAACAGTAAGTCTCCGAAGGTGAAAGGATCTTCAAAGGCCTCTGCGAAGAAGGGAAGAAGGGGAATAAATGAGAATCGGGTGATGCTCAATTTTGAGTCACGGGTTTTGTCTTATTTCCTGGCTCAATTTTGTTTGTTCATTTTTTTTTCTTTTGTTCTTCATAAAGAGAATCTTAATTTAATTAAAAGTTGTCTTAAATAGCAGCTAATGAAGGTATTAAATTAAGAAATTGATTATGCACACCAATATTTGTAAAAATTGGAGAGTTAAGTATCTTCAAGTTCTTCGGCTTCTAGCATTTTAATTGTCTAATTTAGCACTCTGCCGGTGTTCATAGTAAGATCTAATGAGTTGTCTAGTTACAGTTTTGATTTGTGCAACTAACATTTTACAAATCGTTTAAAAACCAGACCAAACTAGCTGGTTTAAGTAGAAAATTGGTGAACTGATAGGAAATTTGATGATCAGTGAATTGGGGAAATGGTTGAACGATCCTAAATCAAGGAATATTGGTAAAAATTAATAGTGAAATTTGGTTTAAGTATAAATGATTTTTTTTTTTTAGAAAATTTTAATTCAACTAGAAATAGTATTTTGAGACAAATAAAAGTTAATACATGGATTTAATATCTGCAATAAGATATTATATTAAATTTTTTTTATCTATACTTTATTTACTCATAATTCCAACCAACGAGGAGAGAGAAAGGAGAAACTTTAGAGTTTGGTTGAGATTCTAATATCATTACATTACAATCTAAAAAATAATTGGAGGTAGTTATCTCTAACACCATTAGATTACCATCTAAACCAATAATAAGAGGAGAGAATATTGTTTTAGATTATGATCTAACCGTGACAGTGAAAAGACAATAAAATAGACATAAAAAAATAGACATAATATCGTATTTCTGTTATAATTTAGTTTTTATGGTCGATTTTTTTTCTTGCCGGGTACAATCACAATGGCGAATCCAGGAAATTTTATTCATGTGTGCATATTTAATTCGAATATTTAATGAAAGGGGTTTGGGGGCGGTGCCTTTGAAAAAAAAAATTAAACAAAGTTTTAAATACATTAAAAAATAAAAAAATATAAACAAAAAAGGGATTTATATCCCTTATGTTACATGACTCAAATTTTTTGTCATGTTAAGAAAAAGAAAAGACCAATTCATTGAATAATGTGTCATTTCACTTTCTTTAATATTGTATAATTTGTTTTTTTCTTAATATGACAAAAATTTCTTTCATATACTATGAGGGATATAATCCTCAAACAACAAAAGAAAAGAAAACTTCGACTTAACATAAAAAAATACAATTAACTTAATGATATAAAACCACTAAAACATAAGCAGCAAAAAAAAATGTGTTTCTTTCTTAGTACTTGTACTTGCAATGCAGCTACTAAAATTGCTCCTTAAGTAACATTCCTAATTAATTAAAAAAATATATATCTTCTTTACTAAAAAAATATATGACCAAATTTATGTGTGCACTGACACACATTGGCAACCAAATAGGTCCGCCAATGGCAGAGTATATGTTATTTAAAGTTAATTTATAACTTTTATTTAACTTGTTTTTTTATGACTTGATGTTAGTTTATAACTTAATACATCAAATATTATTAAAAATATATGTAATTTTTTTTGGTTTAATCACGGTCAGACTATTAAATCATGCACCAATATGCCACAACCAAGTTTGAAACTTAATTAATAAAATTTCATTTTACGGGTAGTTAATCAACGTAAACCTAATTCAAGACACAAAAAGAAAAACCTATTCAAATTTCATTCAATAAAATAAAACCTCATTCATTATGTCTTCTAATTATTGTACATATTTTGATAGGCCAAATGCCAATAACAAATTAGACATAATAAAGTTCCCTTAAAAAGAAAAGGAAAGTTTTTAATTATGAATAGTTATAATACAATCCTATGAAGCACCGACACTTCAAAAATTCTGACATGTCGTGTCCGACACTTTTCGACACTCTCCGACACTCCGACACTCCCCGACACTTCAACAAGGTTATAGAAATTCAAAAAAAGTTAAAAGGCTTCATTGTGTTGAGTTTTTAGTTCCAACTATTAGATTCGTTGGATTACGATGACCATTTTATTGAGTTTAATATAAATATTTGGGATATCTTATGTTTTTTGCAAAATTGATGAACATTATAAGTTTAGTTTCATTTTTTTGTTAAATTATTGAATATTAAATATAATATATACTACATAAATTAAAAATATTATTTAATATCAAAACGTATCCTAACGTGTCGAAATCTAACATTTTTAAGAATTAACGTGTCAGCGTGTCGTGTCGTATCGTGTCACGTGTCCCGTGTCAGTATCGGTGCTACATAGATACAATCAACATTAAACAATATTAAAGAATTCATTTTCCTGAAACAAAGGTAGTTAAATACAAATAAATCAGTATTAAATCAACCTAATATAAAATAAAACAATTAAAATGAAATTAGTTATAGGGAAATAATTTTCTTATGTTGTAGGAAAAAAGTTATTTCATACAGTAGAAATAAAATTACAAATGAAACTCACAAGTAAGAGAAGAGAGAAAAAATAAAGATAAAACCCATTGTTTTTTTGTGTGGGTAGGAAATTTATTTCTCTTGTAATAACACATTCAAATCTTAATCCTTAATACATGTCACATTTCTTGAAATCATGAGCTATGGATAACATGTCGTGTGTCTTGCATTTTTACTCCAAATGAGGACTCAATTTCGAAGTTAGCTTGATCTCTCTTTACATAGACAGAGTGACTAATTGACAGGACAGGACCACAATGATGGGCACCGGGGACTCTGCATGAACAATAAACAACTCCCAACTGTCAAAACAATCATATATTCAGAAATCCTAATTTGTAACAGAAGCCTTCATCCGAACTTACTGATAATTGATAGAACAATTTCTAAATCTTTTGAAGACTTGTCACTAACTAACCTTGAATTTGTTTCAAGACTTGATC